TCATCTCACCTGGATATTGCGTGAATAGCACTTCGGGCTCTAACTCTCCCCTTTTTGGTCCCTTCCTTCTTGAACGATCAAAAAATGGCGGATGAGAGGTTTTAGCGTAAAGGACCCCAAAAGTTTTTGGAATGGCTGCACAGATTCCCCATTTACCGTAGGTTTACTGCCTAGGTTTTATAGTCTATACTTGGTCTATTAACTGGTCTTGGGTCCCTTGCCCCATTTATGTGACCAACCTTCCAATTCTTCCTATTTTATTCCAAGAGAATTATTTTAATCCGAAATAAAATAATTCCACTGATATAAAACATTGCCATGTCTCAAATGAATTTAATACGCGGCCCCGGAGTTCACTAGATGGTCCTTCGGCAACGTGGGCTCCATAATTTACATTAAAGATTAGAATAAAATTAACGATCTTATTCAAAATTGTTCAAAATTTTCAGTAGCGAAACTTATAATTAGGGGACGATGTTATAGTTTGACCAGCCACCGAAAAGGAACTATTGAATTTCCCAGTTTTGCCGGCCATCGGTAAGGAGTTAAGTGCGGCATAATTTGTTCTGATTTTACCAGCCACCGGAAAGAAAGCAATCCATGCAATCTCATCTTCCTGGATCGACGATAGTTCAGGATGGGGGTGATCGAGATCAATATTGACACAGAAGAAATCCTGATTCATGATTGATGAAGAAGCCGCTAAAAACTTATTACTAGTTACTAGCATATAAAAAACAACTGACCGATGATGGCAGGGAATATACATCTGGCAGACGACAATTGGCCACCGAAAATAACTTCTCTCGACAACGCTAGGAAATAAACGTATAGATGGAACTGAAAATAGTGATTAACCAAATCATTTTTCATAATTGAAGCGAAAAGAATTGAAGGAAGAGAAGAAAAGAAGAGGAGGCGACTAGGGTTCCCCACTCCGCTCCTCTCTCTAGACCGCGACTTGAGTAACACATTTTTTTGCAAGGTAAAATTTTTAGTAACAAATTTTCTCAGATTATATATAGTGATTGGTTTATACTTCACATGACTTTGTGAAAGGAGCTTGAGGTTATTTCATATGGATGGTGTACATTCAACTCATGATGTCTTTGTTTCAATTATGTTGTTGCCTATGTAGCACGAATACTTGACTAGGATAATGTATCAGTGATTCAAGAATTCAGCTATCGAAAACATTTATGTATCATATACTCTATGATGCCCGTACAAAGGCCGTACTGTTATTCCCGGTCTGTATCCGCAATTTATGAAAAGTTTTGAACTTTTTTTGTAATTTCTTTAAAATTTCGGATTTACGTATCCTGACGGATATACGTATCAACTTAAAAAAACTCAAAAATTAAATAATAATAGTCTTAAATAATATTTATTACAAAATTTAATTTTTTATTAGAGAGTGGTTTTCTATCAAAATCATGATTGTTTGACTTGTTTCTCGTTTCAAATTAATTAGTGACTTATTTCCTATATTTATATTTCGATATTCACTAGCTAGTGCCTATGAGATAGATTATGACTTCATCTCTAACTATCTTGATAATGTGAAATGCTTCAATGCTATTAATGGGCAGAACCCCTGCAGAGTCGCGCCTACCTAAATGCGAGTGAGGCCATTGACTCAGGGCCCTTAGATTAGAAATTTTGGGGGCCCAAAATTTATAGGTAAATAAATTTTGTGACATTTATTATGTCTGTTTATGACATGAATATTTATTTTTGTAATATATACTAAAAATGATTATTACACTTCGTTGAGGTTTATTCCCTTCCACCCGTAGGCCCAACACACAACCTAAGGGTTTCGAGTGGGTATTTTAAGAGAGTAAGATCAAACAAGTAAGATGAAGCCCAATAAGAAGTCTTAATATAATTTTAAGACGTGAGGCCGTTCGTCCCACTACTATGCTACGAGCTACAATGAATGCTATAACACTAGAGTGCTAAGTTCCCTCCAGTTACAATGAAATAAATGTTCCCTTTTATACCGCCAATGGGTGGCTAGTTGCATTGAACCCAACTGTGGATGATTTGATCCCGACTACCAAATATTCTGCATTAAATGTGTGACCCTCAGGATTTTGGCTTCACGCCAAGCGGTGGGCACTTTCGTCCCCATGGACTTGCATAGCTTGATCCCGACCATCATATCTTCTGTATTAAATGCGCAACCACCAAATATCCTGTATTAAATGCAGAATCCCGTCAGGATCTTGGCTGTCCACCGAGTCCTGCGAGACGTGCGTCTCGTGCTGCTTCTGGGCCAAGGTACTTGCCACGCTAGGATACGTACGTCCCCTGGATGGGGAACGGTACCCCGTTGTCCTGGGCCTTCTGGGGACGTTCATCCCCATGGGCTTCTTGTTGAGCAAAGTCCTGCGAGACGTGCGTCTCGTGCTGCTTATGGGCCAAGGTACCTGCCACGATAGGATACGTACGCCCCTGGATGGGGAAGGGTATCCCGTTGCCTTAAGCCTTCTGGGGACGTTCGTCCCCTTGGGCCTCCTGCTGGGCAAAGTCCTTTGAGACGTACGTCTAGTGCTGCTTCTAGGCCAAGGTACCTGCCACTATAGGATACGTACGTCCCCTGGATGGGGAAGGGTATCAAGTTGTCTTAAGCCTTCTGGGGACGTTCGTCCCCTTGGGCCTCCTGCTGGGCAAAGTCCTTCGAGACGTACGTCTAGTCACTACAAGAATCTTGACATAATGTGACAATTTTTTTCGTCATATAAAATTCATATTTTGTCACTAAAATTTTTATATGACAAATTTTGAGCGTCACAGTGATTGTCACCGTAACTCCGTGGTATTAGATATATGTGACAAATTTTTGATTCGTCACCAAATAACTAACATTTAATGACGTTTTAGCACTTCATCACAATTACATTCACTTTTCGTGACGGAAAATGTGTCATATTTATATCGATTTTTTTGTCATTTAAATATGTATTTTGTCACCAATAACTCACATAATAAATGACAAAATCTTAAATTGTCAACAAAGCATAACATATAGCGACAATTCCCGATAGATTTTCTAAAATTTTGACTTATGACAATAAAAAATCGTCATAATTAAGTTACTTATATTTTGTCATATTAATACACATTCGTCATTAATTAGAATTATTTTAGTTACAACGTTTTCTGTCTCTTATAAACTATTTATGATGAGTCATTTTTAATGAAAAAGTCGATTTGGCAGACTTTTGTGTAAAAAAAGTGACATTAAGAAAGGATATAGCGGCAAAATGGAAATATCAATAAAGTAATACTCCGTATATTCAATGCTAAAAAATTGTACTTTATGCCAAAACTAAACCACTGAATTACAAATTTATCATTCATATGCAGATATGTAAAATAGTAGATGACTAAAACAAAGGTCTAGCTAAATGAATTATAATTATACTACAACATATCATGAAGCTAAAATATATATTACAAATCTCTTCATTCGAAGCTTGATGAGGTAATGGACTTCTCAGCTTTAACGTATCTTTTTCATTATCTTCGACTTTCATCTTGAATCCATCAACTTGTGCGCACTTTAACCTCTTTCTCTAGTAACTCGTAACTTTTTTAGGACTGCTCATGTAATCCATAATGGTCATTTTACTCAATATGGCTGTCAAAAGAGGTCTAAAAGTCCCAAAGTTAGACATATGAGGGTGTTATAGCTCAGGCTTTAGATCACGATAAACAACTCCTTGATGATGAGAGTAAGATACAATGCTACAATTTGAGCCAAAACTGCTCTGGCGTCTTCTTTTGAGTATTTCCCACTCCTTCATTCCAAAAAACAAGATTAAAATGATCTTAGTAAGTATAGTGACTGCAAGAGAGCAGCCAAATGGTATAATATATGTTTATGCACCTGGTAATATAAAGTAGTTCCCCTCATTTACAGAGTCTAAGAAAAAAAACCATTATCACGTTTCAAAGCAATGAAACTATTATACTAACGGGCCAAGTTAACACTCTGAATAGCACTTTGTCAAGCAAAGAGTATGACATATATAAAAAGATGTATACCTTCTTGACATGCTCGTCTCCTTCTATACCAATTTTTTGTCATTATGAACAGAAAAAATGTATGGTAAAGTCAAACATAAATGTGAAACATTTAGCTAATATTGCAACAACTTAAAGTTCAAAAGTTTAGCAACATAAGCAAAAAACCTAACAGGAATTCAAGCATACCTGCTCCTTATCCCGAAAAGCAAAAACCTAGTTCCAAACTGCTTAAACACTACAATGAACAATTGTAAATTATATACATTAATATGCACGTCAAGCAATGAAAAAATAGAAAAATGCAGACAGTGACTAAACATATTACAAGGCCACTGGGCTAAAGTAAAACATCAAATAATGTTAAAAAATTAAGGTGATTAAAACCTACTCAATATGCAATGATAATGTGTGTGTACATTTTATATATTACGGAATATGTTATTAAATCACATGCTCAAAGAGCATATATAATAAAAACTCACTTGGAAAGAAGAAGTAACCAACTTACCTTGATTGAGAGCATTCAAAAACTTCTTTATACCACCGTGTAATAATTCCAAAAAAGTAGGTTATGAGCTCTTCTGACCTTATTCATTATATTCCTCTCATAATATTACTGCAAAATGAAGAAAAGTAGAAGGTTTATACTATCGAATGGCACTAGTGGAAAATAGACATTTAATATGGGTTAAAATCGACTTTTAATGTCGGTTGTTAACCCATATAGATACAGACGACATAGAAAACCCGGAACTTTTACTATCGGTTGGTTGAACCCCATATTGAAAAGCCGGAACTTTTACTATCGGTTGGTTGAACCCCATATTGAAAAGAACTTATATCAGTTATGGAACAACCGTTATGGAATGTTTATTTTTTAAATTAAAAAAAAACTACGTAGCTTTCTACATTTTTTACTTCTCTATAATTATCTTCCATATTTCCATACATGTATTGATGTAAACCTGTAGAAATTACATACACCTCATTCAAAATCGTAAAATTACAAACACTTCAAAATCTTATAATTACAAACACTATTCAAAGTATTGTACTACGTAATTGCATATGCTCGATTCAATTATATCAAAACTACAATACTGTGTTTACATGAAAAGTAAACACTAACTACAACAAATAACTGCTTCATTGAATTCAAGATCCATTTGGATAATCTTTTCACTTCAAGCCACACAAGCCTATCAAAATTCTGAATCTCTCTTTCATGTCAAATAGATTACATCAATGAAATTCATATCCCATATCTGTATAATTAATACCCTGCAACATAAAAGTATTTTTAGCAACAAACAAGAGAATGACCTCTCCAAAAAACATTAGGACCATAACATCTCACTCGAAGCATGTGTGCCCATTCGCTGCATTGACAGACCAGCTAGAAGCATATAAACAGTGCCCCGTAATAAAGAAAACAAACAATAATTAACATAACAAAGAAATGTAAAAGGAAACCGGGCCAACCCAAGTACAACCTCAATGTAGCAGATTCCATCGAGATTTGTGCTGGCTAGAAACGATATGTCAACACGAAGAAACTCATCTTGTTTAACCTAATAGAATAGCAACATGCAATTAAAACTCGCAGTTTCACACTATGGTGGACAATGAAGCTGAAAAGTCTAAAGCCTCAAAATATGACTAAAGCCACTAGACCATTAAAACTAATCATCAACATTTGCAGGTTTATAGATGACAACAAGGTAGTCAAAGGCGTTAGGCGCACTCAAGGCGACAGGGTTAGCCTAGCGCCTGAGGCACAAGGCGCAAAAAAGCGCTCGCCTGACTCATGTCAGGCGCACTACTTAGAAAAAACAACACATACTATTCTTCAACAATCAAACATGATGTACCCGTTCACGATATTTAAGAAAATACATTAAGAAGTCATGTTTCTTACAAATAAAGTTATGCTTCACCCAAATAAAGTCACGATTGACCAAAATAAAGTCACGATTAAGTGATTAAGCAAAATAAAGTCATGACTCATGATTCACTTAAAGTCTTAAACACTAAAACTAGAAAAAACACAATTTAAGCATACTAACTGTAAAAAATACCAAAACATGCATTGAAATAAGTTTTAGACTTGTAGTATTACACTGCTGTAATTGATAAGAATATTTACATGTATTGAAACATGCATATTAAACATACATACTAAAACATGCTTTAAAACATACTAACTGTAAAAAATACTAAAACATGCATTGAAATAGATTTTAGTATTAAACTGCTGTAATTGATAAGTATATTTACATGTATTAAAACATGCATATTAAACATGCATACTAAAACATGCATTAAAACATACTAACTGTAAAAAATACTAAAACATGTTTACAAGAAGCATATTAAACTGTTTACAAGAAGCAGTTTACAAGAAGTATATTTTTTCATGTTTACAAGAACAAGAAGTTTACTGGCTAACAAAATAGACTGAACAAGAAGCATACTAAACATGTTGAAACATAAACTTAAGCATATGTATTTTTTCACATGTATTTTTATACAGTATATTTCTAAACTTAAGCATATGCATACAGAGTAGACTAGTATATTTTTTCACATGTATTTTTATACATGTTTAAGAGACATAGAGTAGAAGAAGGGTACTTTACACTTTACACATACAATACACAAAAAACATACTGGTAGTATGTAAGAACACGTAAAGTAGAGCAGAGCAGAGCGGGAGGATGTTTAAGTTATGTCTTTAGCGTAGGTCAAGTTGTTTTGACCTAATTTAGGTGGGCTTTGATAAAAATATGGGCTCCTTAATGGTTTTGTTTCAGCGCACGTGTGAAATTTACTGAAATTAACGGAAATCCCTCTCAGGCGCCTTATGCGAGCGCTTAATAGCACTACTGCGCTTCTGCGCTTATTGCGCCCAACCTGCGCTTGAGAGGGGAAGGTGCGATTGGCGATGTTTAGGGCGCTGGAGGCCTACGGCTCTGCGCCTGGTGCGCTTAAGCGCTCAGGCGCACGAATTTGACAACCTTGGATGACAGGCTTTAGTCGATGCTCACTTTATCGTGGAGCCAAAATTAAAACAAGAAATAAAATACTAAAATAACAATTTGTGTTTCTGACCATGATATAAATAAATCTGGTTCAGAGATAAGATCATGGCACCCTCATCTGGGGACTTGACATTATGATAAGGCAATAAGAAAATAAACTAATGAGTTGACGTGATTGAATTATTGATAAGCAATAATAGTGGCTGGAGCTTTACATTATACTAGTGGGTGGAGCTTTACATTATAAAACAATGAAAATGGCTCATATGACTATTGTAACAAACATAGCACATAAGGCAATCAAAAAGTATAAAAAAATTAAGTAATACAAAGCAGTATTCTTACTTTAAGGATGTCCCCAACCTGAAGCTTCTTCCAAGGAACATTCAACCATTTCTTATCTTGAAAGACGTCTATGGGAGTATATAAGTATATTATTGAATAACATGTCATTTGAAAGTGTTTCTGTGCAAATGTTTTAGCACAAGTGAGTAAAAGCAGTTAAAAAGTCTAGATTATGTAAATTGTAAACTCAAGTTAATGATCTGCGAGAGAAATATTTATATCATTCAAAAAAACCTTTATGGCAAATTTAGCTAATGGCACACACCAAGTCTTCCTGAGCCTCCTTAATTTGAGAAAGAAGAAGCACCAAACTCAAAGGAACAACATCTGTTATAGGACTCACAGGACTGCACCAAAAAATCATCAGATCAATACAAATAAAAGTTTGGAATAAAGTGATGCAAAGATCATATTTCTTCAGATCAGTAAAGACAAAAGAACTATTTTTTGAAGCAACATTCATAATTAGAAAATCTCATAGAAACTTTTTTTACAAACATATAATAAACAGTGCTAAACCAAAAAATATATAGTTTTCAACCATAAATGAAATCAGTTACGAGTATTTTTTAAATCTTAACATGAACTTTATTATATATAAGTTTATCCAGACAGATGATAGATTCACTTTCACTCCATCAATAATATTTGAATCCAAACCAACTACTAATTTAAGATAAATTGGTTTGGAAAGTATATCAAGTGAACTACTACATACAACATAGTAGCAAAAGGTAGAGTACCAGACAAAGAGTTCAGAGGGGGAATACATGTAGATACACTGAAAAAAGACAAATTAAGACCGAAAAGAGAACCAACCAGCGTAAATGTAAACTCTGATGGCGATGAAAAGAATAGTGACGAGGCGGAAATCAAGCTGGTCTGCATATTAGCAAACAGAATCCCTGGTGCTACCCCGAAATCTGGAAGAACAACCCCAAGGTGAAGAGCACCAATGCTATCGCCACCGCCCCCTTAAACAAAAACATATACAATAATCGAACCCTGAGTATATACTGAAAACGTAATTTCACCTATGCTGGATGAGTGGTGGCTGACGTTGATGAAGAGGAACAGCGTGCGACGGAGCACCTACGACTGTTGAGGTAGAAAAGGCGATTGGCGTTGGAGAAACTCCGAGCTTCGTATGGCATCCTCACCCGAATTGGGTTTTCGTTTTGCCCTAGCTGCTGTGTTTGCCATAGACGGAGTATTTCGTCTAGGAAAATACGCAGTAAAAGGTTAGTACGTCTAGGTTAAAATCATTCGATAAGGGCTATAAAGGAGTCCGACGTAGAAGTGTATCTTTTATATTTATTAAAAAGACCCCGTTTCGGTATACTATGTCAGGTTAAATGTGGAACCGTTATTGATTCGAATTTATATTTACAAAACGCACCCTATTAACTAATGCACACATTTCATTATTTATAAATATGACCCCGTGTTTACATACAACTACGGTTCTTAAAGAACCCATATAAAATCCTAGTTATAGAATGCATATTTTGCACTAGTGTGGTGAAAATAATTGAACAAATAAACGACACAAAATGGATCTGCCACCTATTTACTAATCATGCTAGTTCTATCTCACACAAAAAGGTAATCCTACCTTTATGCATTAATCATGCGAACATTTGTATCCTGGCTAAGTGCTCAAATTTTAAGAAGAAAACTTCCGAGTTTGCAACCCAGCAAGAATTTTTCCACATCTAGCTATGGTAAAGATGAAAGTTCTATAGAAGAAGAGGCTGAAAGGAAAATATATAGGATTGTTGTAGCTAATTTTTGCCGAGACTGCAACTGCCGTACCTTATCAGTTTTTTCCATACTTAGGAGACAATAGATGCAGCAGTTTGAGCATTCTTGTTCCTTTAGTATGTCAAATAACCAAACACTTCAAGACATAAGCATTTTTGTTCCTTTAGTATGTCAAATAACCACAAAAATGGCAAAGTTTCATACACAAACTGAAATAATTTATACATTGCATAGCACAGACCTGAAATAAACTATAGCATTCCTTAATTCTCGAAAACAATCAAGTGTAAATATTAATTGCTAGCGCATATCCAGAGCATGAACATTGCAAACTAATCACTAAGTGAATGGATACTTACATCAATGCAAGTATAGCAGTTGGAATAAAAAAATGGGTGTTCCAAGAAGCTTTAAGTTGGTTCACACGAAATGAATAAACATAGAAGGGGATTAAATATATATGAGTTGGCTATAATTTGGTTACACATTCTCGAGAGAAGTTTATAGACCTAGCAAAGTAGCAAATCAAAGAAGCAAAATTAAAAGCACTGTTGGTAGCCATTTCAGGAATATTAGGCATATCAATAGAAGTTTAAGAGTAAACAAAACTTAAAATAGACTGCCGTCCAAAATACGCCTCATGATATTGGATCAGTGGCTATTAAGAATTTTAAGAAAAGCATAAATTTAGAAGAAGAAAACAAACTACGAACTTGAGGTTAAATTCAAGTATTGTCGCAGCCTATTGCAGAAAACTCCGACCAGATAATTCAAAATCAAGTAAAGATCCTGGCTTCTTACCTCTTAAAGGTTTGAGGACACAACCCATAGCCATAAACTTCCCATGTGAGTAGACGATGGTCAGATCGCCTGTTCTTCCTTAGCAAGAGAAAGGGGCGCATCTTAGTTTTCTCTTGCGTCTGATGTGTGAGCACTGGCCTGATGATCTAAGGTTCTAAACTGGATTTCGGCGGCCTGAGATCAAGCTCTGCCTCGTGACTGATGAAGTAACATGGCGGCGCCGACCAGCAAAAGAATTTCGTCCGACCTAGGAGTTCTGGTCAACTGCGGACCTGGCTGCGGCACGGCTCTAGGGTTGGGCAGGAAAGGGATTGCGGTTGCTTCTCCGGGAAAGAGAACACAGTCAAAAATAAGAAAAAGGGTTTTAAAGAGTATAAAGATAAAATAATACTCCGTATGGAGTAATATTTGGAGTAAAAAGGTTTTTATATAAATATTTACTACTACAAAAAACGAGCTTTAACGACAAAAAGAGTTGTCATTATTTTAAAAAATAATACTACGTACTGCGTTAGTGATTACAATGTGCTTTTCCAATTGTATTAAGTTTTCCTCTATAAGTTTTGCTCACTTTTACGTATTTGAATTTTTTTTGTTAAAAACTAAACTATGACGCATTATTGTTTATGGTCATCAAAAGCATCATTGACAAAACAATATTGTCATTATTTACAAACAAAATTAGTGACAAAATCTTATTTTGTCATAATAATTAAAAATTATGTGACACAAGTTATCGTCATTAATTATTCCAAAATTGTCATCAAAAAAATTCCCTCCGAATTTTTGACGAATAATTTTGGCGCTAAAAAATAAAGTGACGAATTTGAATGAATTGTCATAGTAATCATCAATTAGTGACGAAATATAAGAGTTAAAATGACGGACACGAATATTGTCATAACATGTCATTTTATTGTGACGAGTTCGAGTTTTGTCACTATTACTCAATATAATGTGACAACTTTCTGTGTGTCACACAAATTTTTGTCACAATCAGTGGGATTTCTTGTAGTGAGTGCTGCTCCTGGGCCAAGGTACCTGCCACGCTAGGATACGTACGTCCCCTTGATGGTGAATGATATCCTGCTGTCTTGGGCCTTATGGGGTCGTACGTCCCCAAGGGCCTTAGGGGTTTATGGGCCAAACCCCATTAGGCCATTAACCAAACACAAGTCCCCCACTTGTGATGTTTTGAGCATGTGTGGGACATAAGGAAGTAGAATTGAATTCGACGTACGTCGGATGCTAACACCCTTGGCGCCTCCCAAGTCGATGAGTCATTCTGTGTCTCCTGACGTGCGTCCCCTGAGATGGGTCTTGGAATGCAGTTATGTTCTTTTCGGGTTCACTGCCTTGGAGCCGATGTCCCCTATGGAAACGAACCTCTTCTCTTGGGCTTTTTCCAGGGGGTCACACCAGAAGGCTTGAGCTGAAGGGACGGTCGTCCCGTGGGTTTGAAGTAAAACTGCTCCCGTCGTACTGCCTTTAGCTGACGTCCCTGACGCGACGGTTGCCTGTTGTATTCTTGATCTCTGAACGTCTTGCTTTCTTTATTCACTGGATCTCCGTACCCGACCATCTATGTGAACGGGCCTTGGTGGCCCGTTAGGGACGTGCATCCTCCAGTCTAGAGGGAGGGTATCCGATGTTTAATTGTCTCGGGAGACATTCGTAGGGTGATTGAACCAACACAAGTGAGCACGTGAATCTGTCCGAGAAAGTATACTCTTGCCCTTTATTCAACTATCTTCTCATCGTGCCGCACAGCTTTAGCCCTGGGCCCGTACCGCTCTAAGTCGATGATCTTTGGTGGAGATGCTCGGCTTCTGAAGTGGAGAGACTCATCTCTACTATGTTTCATTTTGAGCATCCTCTGTTATCCGACGTCTGGATCATGACCTTTATCCGCATAGTGAGCCCGACCGTATACTGGACACGGTGGCGCTAAGGGGCCGACCATACCGTGAATGATGATTTTCTGACGCTGGGATCATGGTTTCTCACACTTTTTGGAGACGGCGTCTCCTGCGTCTGTACTCGGATTTTATCTCATGGTGGGCACGAGTGTCCCTGGGCGACTGGTTCTAGATGCGCTGGCTAGCTGCCCCATTTGGCCCGAGCATTGACGCCATACGTCGCTGCAATGGCATTATTCTGCTTTTTATCGTCACTTTTCTTCGCTCAACCATCTCATCATCGATCCTCCGTGCTGCCCGAGGCCGGTGATGCTGATGAAGAACAGGTCTATCCCCTGGGATTCCCTAGGAAGTTGTACGTCGCCACTGTGATAATTTTTATTTTTTGATCGTCACTTTTCTTTGCTCAACCATCCTCTCACCGGTCCCCCATCCTTCCCCTTAGTCTTATGCTGCGCGAGGCCGATGACTTGATGAAGAACGGGTTTACCCCCTAGGACTCGCTGGTTTTTGCTCAAACTATCTTCTCACCGGTCCTCCGTGCTTCCCCTTGGTCTTATGCTGCGCGAGGTCGATGATCTTGATGAAGATCAGGACGTCATCCTAGCGATGAGCGGGTTCCCCTGGTTTTTGTTCAACCATCTTCTCACCGGTTCTCCGTGCCGCACCTTGGTCTTATGCTGCGTGAGGCTGGTGATCCTGATGAAGAAATGGTCTATCCCCTGGGATTCCCTGGCGCCCTTTGTAAGGGCCTTCGTCTTCGTTCAACCATCTTATCATCGATCCTCCGTGCTGCCCCTGGGTCTTATGTTGCATGAGGCCGATGATCCCGATGAAGAACAGGTCTATCCGCTGGGATTTCCCGGTGCCCTTCTGGTTTTTTCTAGGGGTCTTCATCTTCGTTCAACCATCTTATCATCGAGCCTCCGTGCTGCCCCTTGGTCTTATTCTACGCGATCCCGATGATCTTGATGAAGAATAGGTCTATCCCGTGGGATTCCTTAGCTTCGGGAGTTATGTCTCCCTCCTCCCCCATTTTTTTGGGAGGAAGGAATTTCGTAAAATGGTCTTATTGATAGAATTTCTGCAAGTGCTCTACATTCCACACGCCTAAGGCGTTCCCCTCCATTGTATGGAGGACGAACGTCCCATCGGCGTATCTCTTGGTTACTCTATACGACCTTTATTTCTCTGATCCTCACTGCCTTGTTGAAGTATCTCTGGGTGGCTCAGTGGTATTCTTCCATCCACCGGGCGGCGAGATCTCTTCGTTCCTCGATGAAGTGAAGCTCCGCACGTAGCATGTTTTCATTGTCTTCTGGCTAGAAGTGCGTCGTTCGGTGTGTTGGTACGAGCACTTCCGTAGGGAATTTGGCTTGAAACCCGTATGCTAATGCAAAGGGAGTCTCCCCGGTATCTGTCCTCAGGGTGGTCCTGTACGTCCACAAGACGTAGTTTAGCTGCTCTGGCCAGGTGGAGGCGTAGTCTTCCAACTTCTTGATTCCATCCATGATGGTGCGGTTCATGTTCTCCACCTGGCCATCGGATTGGGGGTAGCCCACTGAGGCTTTGGAGTGCCCGATACCCCACTTGGTCAGATATGCCTCGAATCCCTTCCTGACGAACTGCCGTCCGTTGTTTGTGATAATCTGCTCTGGGATTCCGAAACGCCACAAGATGTTCTGCCAAACGAAACGTTGGCACTGCCTTTCTGTGATTGTTGTTAGAGGTTTGAACTCCACCCATTTCGTGACATAATCGATTGCCACGATTATGAACTTCTTCCCTCCGGTCGTCCTAGGCAACGGACCCAGCAAATCAATTCCCCATCTCACGAAAGGTAGTGCTATGGTCATCGAGGTATAGAAACTAATCGGGCGTCCTGGCATTGGCGTATATTGCTGGCATACCGCGCACTTCTGAGTGTGATTAAAACAATCTCGTTGAATCGTCGGCCAGTAATAGCCCTGCATGATGATCTTCCTTGCCAGCATTCGGCGGCCTTGGTGGATAGAGCAGATGCCTTCATGGATCTCCTCCATGACTGCGGCAGCTAGGTTCGGCGGGAGACATTTGACATATGGCCCGCCAAACGTCTTCTTGTATAATTGCCCGCCGATGATCTCGAAGCTCGGAGCTCGCCTCTTGATCCAGGAGCCCCTGGCAGCCGGTCGGCCATTTGGATCCAATGGAAGGGTTTCGTCCCTGAGGTAGTCAGCCACTTCGGTCGTCCAATTTGGGTTTGCAAAAGAAATGGTTGATACTTTAATAGTCTCTGTCGCCGAGCGAAGAAGCACTTCGTGTTTGGAAAAAACCCTGATGTGTCTGGGGATGAGCGTCACCTGATCCTCGGCTAGAGGATTGCATAGTTTGGACAGGATGTCCGCTTCGGCATTCTCTACTCAAGGCACCAGGTCGATGACCACCTGCTCGATCTGCATCGTCAACTCCTCGGCCAGTTCCTTATAGGCCTTCATCCGCTCCTCCCGAGTCTCGCCAGTGCCGTTCATCTGAGTGACCAGTACCTGGCTGTCCATTCTTTCCTTCAGACGAGCTGCGCCGAGACCTTTTGCGCATCTCAGTCCATCAATCAGAGCCTCGTACTCAGCCTCGTTGTTGGTAACCCTGAAATCAAATTTCATTGAGTAGTAGGCCTTGAAGCCTTCGGGGGATGTGATGACTGCTCCCCCTTTGTATCCCTTCGCACTGGAGGCCCCATCGGTGTACATCTCCCACCAGTTGTAAAAATCATTTACCCCATGGGAGCCATCCCATGTGCGTGTCGTGCACTCCGCAATGAAGTCTGCCAGGGCCTGCCCCTTGATCGTCGGCCTCGGCTTGAATTCCACATTATACTGCCCGATCATAAGGGACCACTTGGTAATCCTCCCACTCGCCATAGGGCTCCTGAGGATAGTGGCGAGGGGCTGTGTGGTGAAAACCGTCACCGGGTGCGCCTGGAAGTACGACGCCAATCGCCTGATAGATGCGATCAAGGCGAGGATCGTCTTCTCCATGAGCGTGTACCTGGTCTCGGGGCCGTTCAACGCTTTGCTCACAAAATAGATTGGCCGCTGAACGCCATCTTCTTCCTTCAGCAGTACGGAGCTTGCAGATAGGTCGGCCACAACCAAATACATGTACAGCTCTTCCCCTGGGCCCGCTTTTATCAAGACGAGCAGAGAGGAGAGGTACGTCTTGAAGTCTTCGAACGCTGACTGACACTCCGGGGTCCACTCAAATGGATTCACCTTCTTCGTGATCTGAAAGAAGGGAATTGCCCTATCTGCCAGTTTGGACATAAAACGACTCAGAGCTGCCAGTCGGCCGGTAAGCCTGCGCACGTCCTTCAAATTCCTAGGGGCTTCCATATCCATGATGACCTTCACCTTTTCGGGGTT